CGCCTCGCGTTTCCTCTCTTTGAATATTGCGTCAACCTTTCGTTTCCACCCATTGAGGACATCCTTCTTGAATTTGTTACTGAGGTTGTCATACTGCAACAATTGTCTGCCATTGTGAACACCAACAGCAATCAAGTCCCTCATCTTCCCAACACCAATGCCTGACAAAGGAGCTTTCATCTCATTTCTGTTCTTCTTGCGTGACACGACGTCCTTGAAATCGAGGTCATCTTCTACCATGGCGTCTGTATGACTTTGGTGGAATTTGGCTTTCCTTAGAAGTCTCTGCAATGTCGACACTGTCATCTGCATGTCTGTTAACTGGGTGGGCGGTGCAACCATATCATCCAAAGTCCTCTGTGTCCTGTCAGCACTGCTTACATCGGTCCTTTCTGCTCTCACTTTGTTTCCTCGCACAGCATAAAGATAGTAGTGAAAATCGCTCACATACTTGTCAAATACTCTCTGAGCATACTTCTTCGCTATAGCTGTAGAGGTTTGATCTGTCGAGTTAATGATGTCACTGTAGAGTTGTGCATCAACAGCAAAGGTATCGGTGAGATGGAAGTCAAACAAGCCAACCCAGAGATGTGAATCCAGCTGCAGTGACGTCTTGTTAAAACCATTGAAATGCTTGGTGCAGTTTCGGCAGTAGTACAGTTTCGTATCAAGGTAGCGGTGACTGTCAATACCAAAGAGAATCTTGGGCGACTCAATCCATCTAGAGCGCCCAATGTCAATGTATTTGTTGCATTTGCAGTGGGGGCAGGTTGGCATTACTCCTGACAGAAGATGTGGCACGAAACAAGCCACCGGCTTGATGTAAAAAGAGCCCACATGCAAGCGATTCGAGTGCACGTTCAGCGGGAGATACCGGCCACCTGGGGGCTTGATGGACTGCCAATCTCGACTAGTGAGCCACGTACCATCCGCATCTGTCTTCGTGCGCACATCCTTGATAAACTCTGTCTGATCGTACCCATACTTCACCATCTTGCTCCTGCCGAAATCGTTGATGCTGTTAGACCGATCCAACGATTTTCGAAACTTGTGGAGTGCAGGGGAGCGCCTTACTTGAAACGTATGCCGTCCTACTATATTTGCACAGTGAACCCGTCGGCCCTGCCACGGGGCTCACTCAACAATTTTGTTGGCGCAGACGATTCACAGAAACTTTCGGAGAGGTGCTTTAGTCACTAGTGGGGCGACCGACAGACACCAGAAGAGGTGCGAGTGCTGAGGGGAAACGTCTTACCAGTGTCCAATAAACAGTGCACGGGAATACCACTCGTTTACTTATTACTCTTCGGTTTTGTATGCATTGGGAGAGGAACACGTTTCAAAGAAGACACCGCAGATTTAGTAGGATACATTTCGGTAATTAAAGAACTTATGATGTCTAAGTCTTGGGATGTCCCACGAATGGAATCCGGGACTCCACCCCCCCTCCTCCTTTTTTTTTTCGTCGTTCCGTTGTAGTCAATACCAGAGCCCGTTTTCTGATGCGCCTTTAAAGAGTACAGGCTCTATCGCTTCCTTCCACTCATTTTGCTGTGGACCTATGGGTTCTGCGCTGCGTCTTTTGTCAACTCTAGCTAGTCAACCCGAGCATTTTTTTTTAGCTTTGCGGCGCTGCTGGAGAGTCGGGAGAGGCTTCCGGGCATCTGGCATCTTTGCTTAAAGATGCCAGCTCTTCTGCTTCTTTGGTGCCCCGAATGCCCCGAACCCCGAACCCACCTTCTCGCATCTCGCATCTCGCAGCTCCATATCCCATAACAGCCTAAAGCCCTGCACCCTGAACTGAATCCTGAACCTGAAACAGAAATCTTCGCGGTTGCCAGTTGCTAACTCTTTGTGGGTGCCAGGTAAGCCTCTGAATCACCGGCTCTTAAAGCCTAAAGCCAGAATCCTTGAAAATGCCTGGGTCCTTGAAGGGGGAGCGATGCCTGCGGGAATATTGAATAAAGTCCGGTGCTCCTTGAGACCCACAATCTTACAATCTTCCACTTTAGCGAACTAGCTGTTTAAGGGAGCATGATTCAGGTCATAGAAACCAAAGACATATGGTTGCAAGCACTTCTGTTAAATGTGTAACACGCCAGGTTCGGTTCCTTCATGTCTCCCTCACAGCGGAGCTTAAACCCTTGAGCTGCACCGCCGGGATGAAAGGTGACGCTGGAACCTGGAAGTAAACTCGATCACGTTTTTCAAGTGCCAATGTCATTTTTGGACTTATGCTCAGAAGCTGCACAGGCCAAACTGCATTCATAATGGAAACAAAACAAAACCGGTTGCTACTTGTGAGTGCCCCTTCTGTGACCGGTCGACGCTTTAGCCTCTGAATACTGGTGAAAATGACCATTATTTTCGTATGCAATGTTCAATCAAGGGCCGTACGAGCTGTATGTTGTTACACTGGTACCGCGACGAACAGGGCAAATAAAATTTAATGATCGAGTCTGAAAGACAGGTTTCCGCTCCCACAGAAGCTCACAAAATCAACTTCTCACAATCACAAGCCAACAACCACAATCCAAGCAAACAATAATCAATCAATCAATCAATCAATTATCATGAGCAACCACTCCACCACTAGCAAACAAACCGCCAAGCGAGTCCGCTTCCAACAGGCTCCTCAAGTGCTGGGCAACGCCCTTCCTCTTCCCGACAACTACTTTTACTCGGCTCAGGAGTTTCACATGATGCAACAGGAAATCAGTTTTGCCGTTCGCCGCGTCAAGAAGGATATCCCATTGCCACGAGATTTTTCCTTGCGGGGTCTGGAAGATCATTTGAGCGAAGGAGGGTTCGATGCCAATGAAGAACGCATCTTTGAGTTTGTCCAAGAAGTCCTCGCTCGCTTCTACGACTTGCAAGATTGGTCAGAAGACGGAGAAGATGCCGACGAAACACTCCGCAAGTTCTCTGCATCGCACAGCAAGGGAAACCGCGTGGAATGCTTGCGCCGGGGAAAACAGGATGCCAAGATTGCTCGACAAATCTACGAACGGGATGGAGTCAAACTCATTCGGACCAAGAGCAAGGAACAAGTGGCTGCCGAACAACAGCAAGCTCAAAAGAAGAAGAAGAAGGTTTCACGGAACAAGTCCTTCGATTTTGTAAAGACATTTGTCAAGGGATTCAAACCCAAGTCCAAGGGAGCTATTGCTCGTGTGGCCTAAGGGGGGAACAAAAGGAATTGAATCCCGGGGGGTCTTTACATGTAACAGCATAACCAATGATAGAATCGAATCAATCTTATCCAACTACCCTGCCTACTAGCCAGTTCGACAATCCATCCATCCAGCCAGTCTAGTCTAGTTGGCTACAATCCATCTGGTCTAGCTAGCTGGCTGACTGGCTACATGGGCATTTCCGCACTTTGCACACGCTTAGCCAGTTAGTTATTATAGACATCACCTTTGCTGTAGCCTACCGGTTGCTTACTCCACTTTCTTCCCGTCCACATAATGGTACGATGGAGATCGCATGGTGACCAACTCTTCCGCCGATGTCGGGTGAATTCCAATGGTGACATCAAAGTCGGCCTTGGTGGCACCCATCTTGACGGCTACCGCCACACCTTGCATGACTTCACCTGCTGAATCGGTGGCCAAGTGAACTCCCACTACCTTATCAGTCTTGGTATCCACGATAATCTTGAATAAGGTGTACGTTTCCGATTTGGGAAAGCTATGCGCCATGGGTCGGAACTTGGTCTTGTAAACGGTGATATCCTTGAATTTTTCAGCGGCTTGTTCTTCCGTGTATCCAATGGTGGCAATCTCGGGTGTGGTAAAGACGGTCGAGGCGACAAACTCATGATCCACGGGTCGATCCATGCCACCAAAGAGGGTATCCGCGAGTCGGTGTCCTTCCATCAAAGCAACCGGTGTCAATGCAATCCGGTCCGTGACATCGCCCACGGCGTAAATGTTGTCTACGTTGGTTCGAGAATACTCATTGACAGGAATAAACGATCCATCTGTTTGGACACCAGCGGATTCCAGATTCAGGCCATCAATGTTTCCATTGCGACCGGTTGCCATCAAGATGGCATCGGTTTCAACCCGTTTGCCATCTTCCGTCACGACGGTCAGGGATCCATCGGCATTCTTGATGATTTCAGCCGGGTTGGTGTTGAACTGCAGATCAATATTGGAGTTTTCCGTCATTTCATCTCGCAGCAATTCTCGCATATCCTGATCAAACCCTCGCAAAAACAATTCCCCACGGTACATGAGGGTCACATCACTCCCTAGACCATCCATGATTTGCGCAAATTCCAAGGCAATAAAGCCACCTCCCACACAAACGATGCGTTTGGGTTGTTCTTTCAAATAAAAGATTTCATTGGATGTAATGGCATGTTCAATACCGGGGATACTGGGTTTGTTGGGCCACCCTCCCACGGCAATAATGGTGTTTTTGGTGTGCAGTGTGCGCGTTACAGATCCATCGGGAGCATGGACATGCACGGTATTGGTCCCTTCCAAACTACCCTTTCCTTCGATAATTTCCACACCGGCATTTCCCAGTACAAACTTTTGATAGACATTGTTGAGTCGAGTGATTTCGGCATCCTTGTATTCCATAAAGGTCTTCCATTTGAATTGACCAGGACTGGCATTTTCCCAACCATATCCACTGGATTCGGCAATCATGCCTGGATACCGACTGGCAAAGACCATGAGTTTTTTAGGGACGCAGCCGACATTGACACACTATCGTATGATTATCATAGGTGACACAGAAGTAGATTGAGAGTGGCGAAAAAAAGACATCGTAGGTGAGATCAGGAAAGACCAGGGGAGTCCAAGAGTCAGCCAAGAGAGAGCTCCGCACATCAGGTCACCCAAATGGAGAACCGATCAAGGCTACTCTCTCTTCCTCCCTCATATCAAAACTGAATTTCACTTGTGCAATGTCAACCCACGTACCGTTCCTCCAATGGCAGAATAATTGGGAGCTCCATGGTTCAGCTGTGGTTCCAAAATGGCCACCTTCTTGCCATAACCAGCCGAAATACGGGAAGCTCGGACTCCTCCGGATCCACCTCCAATCACTACCAAATCGTACTCTTCTTCTGTACTCGAACGCAGAGAGGAAGCGGTGCGTAAACCTCGTCGTAGAGGTGCAAATGCCACGGTTCTTCGTGCAATCAGAGTGGCCATGGCAAGGATGTGTCCCAACAATTTCATTTTTCTTGTCTCTTCTGGCTTGGGTTTGTGATGGATGGATCAATAGATATGTTGGGCAACTTAGCTAGCAGCACGGGGTGTGTGGTGTAGGTTTCAAGTGTACTAGTAATCAATGATCCAAGAGCGTCATGGACGGCTGTCGATCATTGCTCTGGGCTTCCGGCTGTGCCGATCTTTCACCATGGCCGATGGTTGACATCCTTCAACGTCAGTCCAAGCTCGGAACACGCACGCTTCGTGATTGGTCCCTCAGACTTCGGTTCGAAAAATCTGGAATCGGTCACAAACATTCGTTTCGTTATTGCTTCCGAAATGAGAACGTGGAATGCAGGGCTAGCTAGGTCTAGAGGCCAAATTGTTGTTCTACAAATCTGATAGCACTCAAAAAAGAAGGAGATCTGTACTGGGAAACTTTTGATCAGAGGGCATGAGTTTCTGAAGAAGGGTCTCTTGACAGCGGCTGCACCAGCCATATACCAAATGACCTTTCCAACATGCTGCAATATGCCACTGGTGAGGAAGATTTCAAGTTCCTTTTCAGAAATTTCAATACGGTTGCACAGAAGCACCAACTAACTAAGACAAGGTGAAGGAATCATCAGGATGCACCTAGAATGTGGAGCAATCATCCTGCGATGGAAGAGTGATGTAGAAGGAACCAGTAGAAGAGTGTCCTAGGGGCAAACAGAACGTCTCCAGGTTCCTTCGTAGCCATGCTAAGGACTGCTTAGGACCGATTCGGCTTCGATGTTGTTCATCACAGGTTGAGGTCAAGGTGAACACTTACTAGATTCAGATTCACACAAAAGATTAGTCGAACATAACAGATTTGTATTATGGTGGGCCGTGGGACTCATGCGAACACAACGGGTTCCAATGGCATACCGGCGCCGCCTCTTAAACTGAATTGAACGTTCATCAGGCTCGAAGTTTCAATAGATCCAATGGTATCTCACCCGATCCATCCCTTCGGTCGTCGCGAACACCAACACTCGCAAGTAGAGCCACTATACTTGGTCGACCAAACTCTTGTGCCCACCACATCGGGCCCCGTCCATCCTTGGAACGAATGTGCGCCAAGGCCGGTTTGCGTGAAAGCAACTCAACCACCTCGTTGTATTGGCCGCGCTTGATAGCATTCCACATGGTCGTCGACTCCTCCGTGTCTTCCCACCGTTCGTTCAGTTCTTCGACTGAAGTCCATTCCACGCGCTTGAGTTCCACCTGCTGCGGTGCTTCGAATCGCAAAAAGTCCCATAGTTCCTGGGCAAAGCCTGTTCCGCCCTGGCTTTGATGATAACGTAAAAGGCCAACGCAGAATTGAGCCTCGATCTGCTCCTTTTCGGTCCCGCCTTTGTCGGGGTGGAGCCTTCTCGACGCCTTCCGGAATGCTTTGTTGATTTCATTTATCGACGCGTCAGCTTGCACCCCACCCAACAACTTGCGACAATGCTCAAGTTTGTCCAACTCAGAAAGGCGTCCATCGAGGAAATACCCCAATACTTCACGGGCGATTCTAGCACCAATCTCATACCCATACACCATACCCATCGAACATGCTACCGCTGCAGCTGGAGGATATAGAAGCGATGCCGCTGCTGCTCCAACCGCACACCCTCCAGCCGCACCAACGGCACCCCCAGCTTCCTCGGCAACAGCGGCAGCAAACTTGAGTTCCATTTCCGGCCTTGTGAGCTTTCCAGTGTGGTAATCTGATACAATCATCATAGACCTGAACGCAACTCCTACGGCAGCTGCGGACTTCAACGGTGCTTCCGTCATGACGACCCCTGCATCCCGGAGTAGTGACCCGACTTGAGTCGAACAACTACCGGTACCTTGAGGAGCGAACACCAGTGCAGAGGAGCAAAGCGCGTTCTGAAAGGCAGCCGAGGAAGCCAGCTCCAAGAGCGCGCTAGAAACAAAATCTGCTAGGAGGGCATTGACAATCAGGCCATTTTGGTTACCGGGGGTGCCTTCCGACAAGAGGACACGAAAGGCGTTAGCAGTCTCTTCTGCGTATTCTTCGTCCGAAATGCTTTCTTCTGACATCTCTCTGACAAGCGATGCGACTGTGTGCTTGCACATGTATTTGGTTCCGGTTCCTTTGCGTCGATCCTTTTCTTCAGCCTCGGCAACGTCATCGCGGAACTTAAGAAACATGTCGGGACGCAACAGACGACGGAAGAATAACATGTCTTCTGGGTCGATGGCATATTCGCAATCATCCCTCACCCTCTTGATGAGACGTCCGTAGTCAAGGTCATCATCCTCGAGACAACTCGCACAACTCGCAGAGCCAGCTTGGGTACCGTTACTGTGCACGCAAAGAAGAAGCAGGGTAATCAAATTCATTATCCACATCTTCATGGTTCCTTCCACTACATGTAGACGGAGCTTTTCCATTTTGTGGAAGTGTTATTGTGTGAATCTTTCGGTGTGGATCTTTTGGTATGGGTTGAAATTATAAAAGTAGTGTACATCGGCTTCCGTAGATAATTGGGGGAAGGGCATTCTCTAGTAGATTCGTTCGTTCTAAAACTCGTTCTAATTCTATTTTGGAACGAATTTTTAGGACAAAAGCAATCTTTAACTCAAATTCGTCCTATTTTTAGGACGATTTTTAGGACGAACTGAAAATTTGCGTCCTATTTTTCAAAAATACGACGAGAAAACAAACTCGTTCTAAAGACTCGTCCTAACAAATCCTTTAAATCCTTGAGTCTCCTTTGATGACATCATCGCCATCCAGTCAACACGATTGAGTTAACAAGACTGAGTCATCAACTGACCGATCTTTACATCGCTAATGGTAGCTACCGGTATGATGGCTACGGTAGCTGGAAGCTACGGTAGCTGGAAGCTACTAGCTAGATAACAAACTCCAAATCAATGACCACAATAGACTACACAGTTGCTTCGTGTGAAGCTCCTATTAACGTTAATCTCACTATCAACGACTGACGAGTTTCTTAGAGAATGAACTTGCGTCCTAAAACTCGTCCTTACCTAAGTCCAGTTTTAGAACGATTTTTTTAGACATTGCCGATTTGTCCTAAAAATTTGACAAAATTTTCTCGTCCTAACTTTAGAACGAGTTTTAGGACGGGAGCAGGTCAAACGGTAGTTCGCATATCAGAACCTCAAACGATTGGTACAGAAAGTACAGCAGGACCGTCGTGCCGACATCGGCCCAATCCGTACACTACCTCTGTAGAATCGCTGTAGAGGATTAGCCAATCAGAATGGTTCTGCAGTTCGATCTTTCGATTTCGATGACGTCAGTCGGCTGACGTCAGTCGTGTTCGTCAGTCGTGCATCTCTGTGTCAGCTCGATCAGTCTCTCGTCGTGTTGTTTTCGTGTTGTTTTTGTGTTGTTTTGGAAAGACCGACGGAGCATGCATCCAGAGGATTTCGCCAGAGGATTTCGAATTTGAGCGAGATAGTGAAGCAAGACAATAAAACCGAGGTCATCCCTTCCATATTCAGTAGCCGAAGAGGTACTTCGCAGAGGTGTACTTACCGCATTCAGTAGCCGCAGAGGTACTCACCGCAGCCGAGGACATAGCCGCATTCAGTAGCCGCAGATTCAGTAGCCGCAGAGGTACTCACCGCAGCCGCTTTCAGTAGCCGCAGATTCAGTAGCCGCAGCGGGGGCTCAACCTTTATAGTTCTAGCTTAAAAAATTTTCGTCAAAGAGAATGCCCTATAACAGAACATGAAAGGTTTGGTACAGAAAGTACAGCGAGACCATCGTGCCGACATGTACACTACCGCCGTAGAGATCCGTACACTACTGCTGTAGAGCCATTAAGAGCCATTAGCCAATCAGAATCGTTCACGTCAGTCGTGCACGATATTTCGCAATCTTTCTCTGTGTCAGTCTCCCGTCATTTTTTTTTGGTGTTGTTTTCGTGTTGTTTTCGAAAGACCAACGGAGCATGCATCCAGAGGATTTCGAATTTGAGCGAGATAGTGAAGCAAGACCATACAACCGAGGTCATTCCGTCCATATTCAGTAGCCGTAAAGGTACAAGCAAGACAGTATAACAACCGAGGCATTCAGAAGCCGTAGAGATACTCACCGCAGCCGAGGACATAGCCGCTTTCATCGCAATCCTTCGAAGATGATGAGTGCGAGTACGAAAGAGGCGCCGGCTGGTATCGACTAGCTTAAAAAAAATTCACCAAAAGGCTGTCTGTTCTTCAATACTTCAAACCGGCTAATGGTAGTGTGCGGACGACGAAGGCGTTCATTCCGACAGCCAACTTTCAAAGCACCTCCTGGAAAAGGAGCTTTTATACCTGTAAAAGCCAAGCAGTCATTTTGGAATCTGCCCACAGCTCGTAAAATAGGATTGTTTGAAGGAAGATCATATTAGAGCATGCAATACCAGGGTACCCCAAATCACAAACCTATTGACGTCATTTTAGAAAGTGTTAAGTAAAAGCTTGACTCGTATTTGCCCTCAAGCAAGTCAAGCCAAAATGCGAGATATTTCGACGACACTCAATGGATGTCGTTAGAGTTAGAGATATTTTGCGCAACGTTTGGGTAGGATGTTCTGTATCGCAAAACGGTTCGATTTGCGCGAGGAAACGCCCTTGGGCAAATCACTTACAAATTTCCCCTTAAGTAAAAGCTAGGTATGGCCCAACAGGGAGAATTGGACTGACAGGGAGAATATCAGTAGAGATCCAGTAGAAATGTACACAGAGCTGCATACAGTATGATTTGTGAGAAGGGTGGGGGGCCAGACCAAAAAGGGTGTATGCCACCCTGTGTAGAGAATGTACTGGAATGTACTGCATATTCTCCCTGTTGTTCCGTATTCTCTCTGTTGGGCCATTTCTAGAAAGGGTTAAAGTTAACGAATCGTCTCGGAATTGTCACACATGCATGACTCAAGGTCATGTGCCTCACATTTTGCGAGCAAGCATAGCCTGGCACCGAGGATGTCAAGCTTTCACCAAATACGCACAAATCAATGGTTTGTGATTTTAGGTACCCAGCTCTTAGATGCAATAATAATACGCTGAACAGCTCCTAAAACAGTCCCTACTAGCTAGAGCTACATTGTACATGTAGACTCTAGCATTATTAAAATAAAAAAGCTTGTTAGTTCGAATATGAGCTCTTAGTGCTCCACAATCAGCTCTTAACTACTTGAGAGTTAAAAATAGTAGTAGTATGTACTAGTAGACCATTTCGTTTTGAGACTAGCTCTTAAATCTCAAAACCGGCTCCGTGCCAGTGGACCAAGGTCCAGCATGGCTTGTTTGGGTCTTGTGCTGGACCTCTTCCATACGGTATACTTGATCAAAAGGGCACTAGTTTGCATATCGTGGTGGACCCGCCTTGATCATTGATGCTTAATAAGGAAACCGGGTGTACAAAGTCAATGCTTTGTTCAAATGGGCAGTGTTGGTGATTTCGTGCATGAGGTTTGAGGTCCCCTTTGGTTTCTATGCATCTGGCGTCACTAGCTAGCTGGCCCCATGAGAAACTCAAAGATGTCTGGATTTGCACTGTGCCGGCATGCATCCAAAAAGATTTCCTCGTTCATTTGAGATCTGCCCGTTTCAAAGGCCATCTGTTTGGCCTCCAGACGAGCTCCTGTCAACAGTTACTGGAGTAGTTGTGCTGAGGAGATAGAAGTGCTTGGTTGAGGCAGACATACTGGTATCGCCACGTCTTCGTCTGGATCCTCTGCTGATTCGCCAAAAAGTACCCCACCCTTGTCATGGTTCTTTCTTTCTAAAGTACATACTGTACGATACGAGACTCTTTATCCAAAACACTTTGGCTGGTTGAGGACTGTGTCTCCTCTATTGATGGAAAGAGCAAAAGCACGAGTGCTAACTGAATTTTGTTTTCCCGGACAAAAAAAGGATTTTTTCTCTAAGTATCTTTGCCAAAAACAGCTAAATGGTCATCTATCGCACAAAATCGGAAACATTCAGGCGCCAACACACACATCATTCCGACCATCCCCTTGAACACCATTGGCTTCCATGTTTCTACCCCCAGTACACCAACATTGTTATCAATTACTTCGTTCTACTTGATAGATACTCTTCTACTGCTGTGGGCAGCTCGTCAGGGTCGTTGTAGCATCGTTGTAGCATCCAAGGGACAAGAAAACTAGGTTTTCGAGAATACCTTTCTCATTGGGTGGGGGTATTCGACCAAGGGCGTTTGGAGGTCAAGGATGAGTCCTCTCAAGGAGTCGCTTGTTCTCGTCATCACGATACTCCTACTGTCTGTGGAGGGAATCAACGGGAGACATGTTCGAGGCCACCGTCTGAAGAAGATGATGAATCGGTCCCAAAAGTCGGCACGTTCAAGTGACACCAAGGGAGACACAAACTACTTCAACCAGAGGAGCAAGCTCAATCAACCCAACGAGAGCCGACACTTGAAGATGAAATCCAAACGAAGGGGCAAGAGCAAGAGTTATTCTTACGACAGTTATTATTACTACGAAGAAGAAGAGAGGTGGGAAGAACGACAACCTTTCCTGGAAAACGCACAGTTTGTTGCCTATCCCGTTGTTACCACACAATCACATACCAATGCCGATACTACCCAATATGTGCTATTGCCAGTGCAAGTGCACAACACTGTTCCTGCTACTGTTACAGTCATCGACAATCAGCAAGTACAACAACCTGTAACGGTGGTGACAACCCCTCAGAACAACATATTCCAGCAGCAAAATCAGGTACTTGTAGCACAACAGCCTCCACCACCGCCTCCTACATATCGTAGCAGACGAAGCAAGTCTGGGGGAATGAGCAAATCGAGAAGTACATCTAGCAGCAGACGGCGAAGACGCAGGGAAGAACGTCGCAGACGATGGGAGCAAAGAAACTACGTTGTGACGGTTGTGACTCCCAGAAACCCAGAACCAATACACACGCCACAGCCCCTCACGTTGCCTCCAATAACCTACCCACCATTCACGTTCCCTCCCATAACCTACCCGCCTTTCACTTTGCCTCCCTTCACGTTCCCTCCCTACACCTTGCCTCCAGTTACTCTCCCACCGGTCACTTTGCCACCAACGTCGCCACCTCCAACATCGGTGGCTCCAACCGCGAGTCCTCCTGTCACTGTACCGCCCACGACGTCGACCCCAATCGCACTGCCCCCAGCTCCAATGACGACCACCCCCACTCTCAATGCAGCATCTCCCAACCCGACAGTGGCTCTGCCCCTGGACGTTGTCGATACTGTGTCGACATTGAATTTCGTTATGGATTTTGGGTTCACCGGGACTCCTCGAGAGCCCACCCAGGAAGAGATCGATGGTATTCTGACACAGACAGAACTGTTCAACTCGGATGTGTTGAGAGCCGCGTTTCCAACAACTTTTGAGAGCTTTCAGTTGGCTGAAGTCGGAAATGCCAGTGAACTGCGAGGGCCTTTTACCAACACCTTCATATCGTATGCCGGACAGACACGGTTTCGCCCGACTCCAGCAACTCGGCAGATTGTCACTAGCACCACAACACCAACCCAGGCAGATGTTGAGAGTGTGATCAATGGGGCTGATTATCAAGGAGAGTTTAACTATGTTCCCAATGCGACTCCAGATGGAACAATCTTTGCCTTGACAACCAGTGTGGTTTCTACTGGGGGGACGTCGGCTCCTACGTCTGCAACGACAACCACTGTGCCTGATATGACCACAGCACCATCAGCGACTGGCACAAGCCCTGGAACGCCGGCTGGCACGACGACCACCGCCCCAGGAACGTTGCAGCCATCCGCTGGAGGCACGCCAGCAGCATCTCCAGGTGTCACCACGGCTGTTCCAGGAGCAACCACAATAAACCCATCTGTTATCGGAACACCAGCGGGATCGCCAGGAGTCACTACCCTGGTACCAGGAGCAACCACAATAAACCCATCTGTTATCGGCACACCAGCAGGTTCACCAGGAGTTACAACGGCTGTTCCAGGTGCAACAACCATCAACCCATCTGGTATCGGTACACCAGGGGTGACGACAGCTGTTCCAGGAGCAACCATCATACCATCGCTTCCAGCGACAACCGTCGTGCCTGTTCCAGGAGTCACTATAATACCGTCGCTTCCTGCAACGACCATCAACCCTTCTGTCATTGGGACGCCTGCAGCAACCATCATACCATCGCTTCCAGCGACAACCGCCGTGCCTGTTCCAGGTGTCACGATAATACCGTCCCTTCCTGCAACGACCATCAACCCTTCTGTCATTGGGACGCCTGCAGCATCACCTGGAGTCACCACGGCAATTCCTGGAGCAACCATTATACCATCGCTTCCAGCCACAACCGTCGTGCCTGTTCCAGGTGTCACAATAGTACCGTCGGTTCCTGCAGTCCCCGGTGCCACAACCATAGTACCATCCGTTCCCGCAGCAACACCGGCAACGACCACAGCCGCCACGGCCATTCCCACAGTGGATTTACAGAGCTGCACCCTCTTGATGCTTGTTTCAGATGCCAATCTTGACACTGTACTATCCCAAGAAGAATTTGTTGGCTTTGTCAGTGCCATGACCAACTTTCAAATTGGAGCAGTGCCATTTGAAAGTTTGCCAATGGCGTTTCAAGACATCTACAATGCGTTTGCTATACCCGGGATAGGCTTGGACATTGCAGGAGCTGATCCCTTGGTTCCAGCCACTCCGGAGCAGGCAATCGCGTTGGAATTTATCTGTTCCAGTACCAATCAAGCGATAGTTGACTCTGCCTCTGCTGCAGCCGTCCCAGCAGCATTGGCACCTGGACTGCCCGCTGCAGCCACAGCTGCCGCCACCGTTGCAGCCACCGCTGCAACGACGGCTGTAGTTACAACCGCACCCGGATTATCTTTGGCAAATCCGAATATTCCACCAGGTCCCAACATCCTTGGAAGACGAAGAGATCCAATGCCTCGAGCATCAATTTCCGCAACGACCATTGCCCCTACCCCAACTCCAACAATGGATTTTCAGATCTGCTCACTCCTGATGCTATTGTCAGACACCAACTTTGACATTGAGCTGTCGCAAACTGAATATGTTGCCTTTGTCAATGGGATGACAAACTATCAACTTGGAGCTGTGGCATTTGAAAGTTTGCCTTTTGGCTTTCAAAACATTTATAACTTTTTTGCAGCAGCAGGGGGTGGCTTGGACATTGAAGGAGCTGATCCATTGATACCAGTCACAAAGGCTCAAACAGCCAGAATAGAACATATATGTACCCGTGTCAATCAAGCAATTGTTGGCTGAACAAGTCCTGCTTCCAACATCTTTTCCAAGACGAGGTAGTCCGAATGGATGACACGACGGCGCAAAGCAGATGGAGCAAAACAGAGGGAATTGATTGTATGGCTGGTGCCATCGTCTCCGTCAATCCGACAAGTGCAGCGCGCAGCCGTCCCTTGCATTGTCCCTTACATTGTCCCTTACATTAACTATGCGTCAACCCACGTGCAAGCTTCTCGGATGCCTTGCTCTGGCCAGAACTGAAAGGATCCAAACAATCCCAACAATTATGATTATTGTGCAAGCAACGAACGAAAGACTGTACCTAGCCGAAGAGCACGGCTCCCGACTCCCACCTCTTGGCGAGGTCTGGAAAGGGCCGGCCGCTTGGCTGTGGACGACGCCAATCCAGACATCCAACACCAACCTGTGGCTGGCTAGGTGATCTCTGGGTGCTAGAGCCGGAGGTGGTGCCTCACGAGTGATGCAGTCCTCAAGAAGGGTTGAAGAAATTCAGCTGAGCGAACTTTCTAGCTACCTATCGAGAGCCCGATACCGGTACACATCACCCGATGCATTCGCGTTGAAGACACTGGGGGCGTCCCGACGAGAATAGTCTTGACACAAGGGCGCGAAAGTGCTGTGCACGTACTGTGCATCAATCAGCCCTCGGCATCTTCCTAGCCACCGGTACCGGTATCGGGTATGCCATACTAATACGCAATTAAATTTTGAAGTCGAAGGTAGGATCTTTCAGCAGCACTTCTTTTACTCATACAAAATAACCCCTCCTGAAACTGTTTCTAGCTATGCATAGTACCGTACTAGTACTACTGGTAGCTAGGAGACCCCCTAGCTAGTTAGTATTCGTATCGACCTCCTCGCCTTTATGCATGCAGTTTTTTCTGCCCCTTATAGATTTGTATTGTACACTACTGCGTGACCAGAACATGCCCCCAACCAGCAAAAGATCCATATTAATACCAGATCCAGGACCGTGGAGTTCGCATTTTTCGGGGCAGTTCGGAGAAGGATCGCATTGGTCGAGGAGAAAGATTGAAAGTGCCAAGTTGTCCACAAAACTCACCTTTGAAAGAACACTCACATCAAACTCAACCCGACAATACAACAACCAAAGCCACCAACCAAAAGCAAGTTAATCAACAACCTACACCATGACGGATCCTACGCCACCATCCCCAGGAGGTCATGTTCGCCGACTCAGTGTACCTCTGTCTCCCTTTTGGACGGGCGAAATCAAATCGTTTCCCACTTCCGACGAAAAGAAGGCGGAAGATGACGACAACGAAGCCATTGGCTCTCCGCGTGTCTCGTCTCGTGGCATTATCGAAGTCCCCATGACGGAGATTGCCTTTTTCCCACTTCCCATGGACGACGCGGCGTCGGATGAACGCGCCTTGTTGCCCGAGAATCGACCCAGTCGTACTGGCATTTCCTCCTCGCGTCTTCTCAGCCGCGTGCCATCGGTTGTCAAGGCAACCGAAGACCAACCAGGCGAAATTGTGGATATTGATAAAACTCCACCGATATCCGCCGAACCGGACACTACCAGTGTGAGCAGTGACACTACTGTGGCCAGCAGCAGCGATAGTGTCAAATCCGAGTTTTCCGAGAATACGGCAGGAAGTAAGTACACTGAAAAAGATGATGAAGTTTCGGACGGTGGTGCTCCCTTGTTAAAGTGTCATTATGTATTTCACGAGAGTTGCTTCTTTGGCTGTCTGAGGCTAACCTCATTTTCTTTTTGCCACCCCCTCTTCTATTCTACTACTCTAGGCATCTGGGAAGATGTGCCAATGGCCAAGCCGGACGCTATTTTAGGGATTGCCAAGGAGTACCAACAATGCACCAATCCCAGAAAGGTCAACGTGTGCGTGGGAGCCTATCGGGATGAAAATGGAAAACCGTGGGTTTTGCCCAGTGTCCGTCAGGCCGAACGCATCCTGTGGGAGGATGAAACGCAAACCAAGGAATATTTGCCCATTGACGGCGACCGAGAGTTTGTTCAGTGTGCCATGCGCTTTGCCTACGGGCCCGACGTACCGCTGGAACATTTGGCAGGGGTTCAAACATTGAGTGGAACCGGTGCCTGCCGCGTGGGAGGAACCTTTTTGGCTGCCTTTTGGCCCAACCACCCCATTTATTGCCCCAATCCAACCTGGGGGAATCACATCACCATCTTTAAAGAGTGTGGATTGGATGTTCGCCGCTATCGGTACTACGATCGGGCCAATAATGGTCTGGATTTGTCGGGCATGTTGCGAGACCTGCAAAAGGCACCACGAGGTTCCATCATTTTGCTCCATGCCTGTGCGCACAATCCCACCGGTTGTGATCCTACCATTCATGAATGGAAGCAAATCATCTCCATGATTGGTCAGAGGGATCATGTGGCGTTCTTTGATTGTGCCTACCAGGGATTTGCATCCGGTGACGCTGAAGCCGACGCGGCACCCTTTCGCTATGCCGTCAGTCAGAGAGTTCCCATTGTGCTGGCACAATCCTTTGCCAAAAACTTTGGCCTTTACGGGGAACGATGCGGATCTCTCTCGGTGGTGTGCGGTGATGCCGAACAAAAGGAACGCATCTTGAGTGAACTTCGGTTGGTCATCCGTCCCATGTACTCAAGTCCTCCACGACACGGCAGTAGCATTGTCAAGACGATTTTAAAAGACGAACAACTCACCAAACAATACTATGAAGAATGTGCCAGCATGGCCAGGAGGATCCAGCGCATGCGGACCAAGCTCGTGGAGTGCTTGTCAACAATGAGCAAACATGATTGGTCACACATTAAGCGACAAATCGGCATGTTTGCCTTTACCGGGTTGACACCGGACATGTGCCATCAGTTGACCAACGAATACTACATCTTTTTGACAACCAACGGGAGAATCAGCATTGCGGGCTTGAATGATTCCAATGTGGAGTACGTGGCCAATGCCATTCACGCAGTGACGGACGGAAAGAGCATGAGCTAAAACGATAACACACACACACATGAGCACAACAACTACAGTAGCGTTTGTGCTTGACGCATGAGCATGATCATGCGGAACCAAGGCCATTCATGCAGCGACGGATGGAATGAGCATGACCTAAACCACAACACACCCAGGAGCACAACTGCCATCATTTGTGCTTGACATGCGAGTATGACCATGGTCATGCGGAACCACAAGGCAAATTAAACATTTCATATCTACTAGTAGCAAACGAGTTTCAATGGATTGCTTGCACCGAAGGTACCGAAGGTGGATCATATTGATTCACCATACTGCGCATTGATCTTTCGGCACGCTTCTGAACCACGAAGGGGCAAAACGCAACCGCGAGGAGAGCTAATCAGCTAGCGCAGTTTCCATCGGCTCGACACTCACTGTCCGGTGGGTATAACCAAGAAACAAAAGAGCTTCAAACACTCAGATGGGCGTGCTTTGCTTGGCTACCATTTACTGCTGTCAAAGTTCGTCGCCTCTATCTGACCTGTGCACTAGCTTCCCTGTCCTCGGAGCAATGAGGCAACTTGTTCTTGGGATGGCAGCCATTTAAAACCGATGGACCACCAAAGCAACCCCAGAAGAACTTGAAGCTCATTGCACATGGCGCAAGACTTCATGAAAGAAGCCCTGGACCTGGTTCCAACAAGCCTGCCAAAGGGAGCCGAGTCCATCCTGGGGGTAGGAGTAAGAGAAGACTGCCTGTGGCTGGAATTCGTGCCAAGAGATGATATATTCTGATCCATGCCTGTGGCTCTTTGAAATCGTCCGCATTGCCCCGATACTGTTACCTGCCACCCTGCCCGAGTACGATGCCTCCAGTGCCAATGAGATTAGGATTTCGAAGTTGCGGGGAATAGGTTTCTAAAAAGCAGATCCTTTTTGGACAACTGCCAGATTGGGTTAATATTCCACTTTGAGTCATGCTTCTAAATTCCCGGAAACTGCCAGATTGTGTCACTCTTCCAGATTACCTCAACTAGAGTGAAATGCGATTTAGGACCGACCTTTCCGCGGATTATTCTCTTAAGAGGTGGATCTCGAATATTGTACTTTTAAGTAGCTGAATCGAAAGGGCATATGTTGTTGAGTATCCCATTAAATTCCCAAGATCAGAGTGTACTTATTGGTGGAGTTATGGTTGATTGAAAATATCCTCACTTTTGTGACGAATTCTTTTTCTCTGCAGTTTAAGACTTTACAGTACTTAACTGTGTAGGATCCTACATAGGAGAGTCCTGTAAGATCCTACGGAACACTTAGGAAGCACCTCTATTGCTCTGGTACTGAAGCTACGTAGGATCCTACATAAGAACCTCTATTAATTACACGGTCTTAATCTTCACCCGGTCTTAAAATGACATTTACTCTAGTACTAATTTTTACATGTGTTTTTACGTAGAGTCTTCCAGATTGTGTCATTCTTCCAGATTGTGTCATTCTTCTAGTTTTAGCCATTCTTCTAAAAGAAAACACTTGGAACCTGACAAACATTGTATAACATGTATTCCCGCAACTCTATCATCTATGCAGCGACGGATGAGGGTGATGTGGTTCGGTTCTTTTGCAAGCCCTGGTAGCATTTCGAGCTCCGAGCACAACAAAACAGGACGTCACAACGACGGCCATCGCAGCTCCACTATCATGTAGGAGAGAAAATCGGTTCGTGGACTTTCATTCCGGTATCGGGCGGCAACTAAATACAAGAGCGACTTTGCCGCAGCAAAATTCGATTCAAGCAAAAAAGGCAGCTACTATGGTAGCTCCCAAAACGAAGAAGCCAAATGGGACCGGGCGATAGAACAAACACATCATTCTTATTCTCCACCACCAGCACATGCTGCGATATCGTGGACTCGCTTTAGAGCATCTCCGACTAGAAAGAACTCAACTGGGATCAGGGCGATGGAACAGCAACAATTGATCTACTCCCATCCTATCTCCCAGACCTGAAAGCTGCCAAAAACACAACACTGACTTGCATATTGGGCAGTTGAACCAAGAGCGCCTTGAATGATAGAACCAACCATTCGCATGTGCTTCCAGTCGAGCAGCTACCGGGACATCCAAAACACTGACGCCAACTGGGATTGGGGGGGGCAAGCAAAACGATACTATAGTAGATCTACATCTGTACGCAACTACATCGTACCGTCATTCCTGGAGCATTGCCTATGTTCAGACGTTTGAGAGCTCGTTTGAGCCAACTTTCTACAAACTGTGTTGTAAAAGATGCTGGAATGAATCAATCGAACGTTCGCTAGCAGGGATCGCTAACCAATTGGTTAGGTACTGGTTACTGGTTACTGGTTGAGTAACCAAAAGTTCTAGGGTACTGGTTACCGGTTACTGGTTGGGTAACCAAAAGTTCTAGGGTACTGGTTATGGTTACCGGTTACTGGTAATCACGACAGTAACAATCAACTTACAGTCTATTTAAGTCAAAGTAACCAGTAACCAATGGTTAGTAACCAATTGCAAGTGGTTACCTTGAGGGTCTGAACATGCAGCGCAAGACTTTTGTGTTTGTTTGCTTCCGCCCATGTCAACCATTCGCTGTTTGTCCAGACATACCTTAGGATTTGCAGCATTGGCACACGAATCTGCTCCTCTCTCTTTTGGATAGCTACTCCAGCCCTCCAGCATCTCCATTGTGATATCCTCTTCTCGTCAGATCTGGTTCTCCTTCTTTTGCGTGGCTTGTTGAGTGGATTTCACCTGTTCTCTGAAAGTCTCTTCGTCCTGTTCTGCTTCCAGCAACCTTGCAACCAGCCACGAGGTGCCTGTGGTTGCGCAGGAAGTGACGATTCTTGTACGTGAGAACCTTCTGTTTGAAATGTGAAGTCGCCCTGGTTTGCCTTTAGCCTATGTTCATCCATGTAGCTCCATCTGAAGTTCTCTCTTGATCCCACATTACTGTCGGGCAATGACAAGACGATGCAAGCAAGAGGATACAGAACGGGGTGGCCTCAACCACATTGACTTCAACTACTTCTTCGACTGGGGGCCGTATATGCTCTTCGTCGGAAGCTCCTCTTCTTTGCTCTTCCGCAGTCGTCGTTCAGGTTGGTTGAACCAGTTGGCCTTCGACAACTCGATCGGCTCGGTTTTCTTCGGTAGAAGTGACCCTGTGCTGTCTCTCGCCATCGGCTATGCTCAGGGCGCTCCAAAATCGTCCATACCCTTGACTCGGACATTACGAAGCTAGCTTTGACGGTAACTTGGGACGTGGCTAGCTAGCTAGCTCTGAACAGCTTGGACGGTATGTTGGACGGCAACCAAACGCAGTAACCAGGTGGCAAGCTAGCTTGGGACGATGGCTAGATAGCATAGCTTGGCGTGGCTTGACGTGATATTTGGAAGGCACCAAAATAACGTAAACAGCCAGTAACCAAATGAGTAACAAACGAGTAACCAAACGGACATAGGTTGCCCCTATTGGTTATTGGTTGGCGAATTTATGAGAGGAAACGGCAAGTTTCGAAATTCGAGTAACCGAATGGGTAACCAGTTCGATAACCGGTAACCAGTTCGATAACCGGTAACCGGTCGCAAAGTAACCAGTTCGATAACCGGTAACCGGTCATAAAATAACCGGTAACCGGTCCAAAAGTAACCAGTCGAAAACGACCCGGTTACCGGTTACCGGTTGAGTAACCGGTTATCGCGAGGTCCCGGTTGCCGGTTACCGGTTACGTAACCAAATCGAACAACCGGTAACCAAATGTCAAATAACCGGTAACCGAAAGAACTGGTTAGCGAACCCTGTTCCCTAGCTGTAGCACTATGCCAAAAGGTTCCCGTAGAAAGTGGGTCTCCTAAATCAATTAAAGTGTGACAACATGCGTAGGGGAAGATTCACGACTTGATGTACATTAAGTCCTTACAAAGAAGTTGGACATAACGTTCGGAAGTCGGAACCAAGAAGAGAACAGCTGAGGGTCTTCTATTGCTCTAAACAGCGCTGTCAAGCACGTGGCTGGTAGAAGCCCGCCTACTACCGGCAAAAGTTGGAAAGATTTCGTCTCTATGGTACCGTACCGGTGCATGAGTCCGTGTTGCATTGTATGTCCCGAATTTGGAAGATACTGGTAGAGAGGAGGATGGATTTGGCTGACGGGTCGCTGCATTCCAAGGATCCAACAAATAATGTGCCTAAAACTTGCTTAATCACCACTTTAACCACTATGGTATACCGGTACTCTTCCACGGACAGGAATCTTGAAGTGCAACTTTTTAGACCTTGGACCGCCACGATCACTAAAGGCTTCAGGTTAGGGAATTTTTCAAGTCGCCGTGCATGGGTTGCAAGGCAGTCTCATTGTAGCTTTGGCTCAATGCATTTTGGCTCCGCAATTTCGTTTCCATGTCTACTGGTGTCTTACGTGGCAGAGTCCAAATTCTTTTTATCTGCCGCGCCACAGTGCCAGCAACTCTTGAGAAGTACAGTCGTACTCCGAGTAAAGCTGTCAACCTGGCTACATAAATAGGATTGGAGTTTTGGCTGCTGGGTTGCTGGCTGCCGGCTGCCGGTACCATACTAGTTCCAATTAGCTGTTGTGCCCCTCTATCAAGCCTGCCATGCGCCAACTGTGACTGGCTTCTCTTTTCTTGCTCCTCGACATAATGGGTGGCCCCGGGCTCTGGCCCCTTCCCAGCTCCTTCTCACATCGAACAGCGCGACCGAAAAGGTGAATAAAGGCTAGAAAGTCTGAACTGTGATTCAGACTACTAAGGCCTTAGAGTTCATTCTTAATTCATTTAAAGACAGCTCAGACAGTTTTCCAAACATAGTTGCTGAACCAGAAGGGTGCCAGACTTTAGATGGACTGTACAGGGTTTCCTGACTAGACTTCACCCCAAAAGATAAAGGTGCAGTGTCTTTCGTAAATCCACCAATTTAAGAATGCGTCGATTTAGACGACGATTGGGTTCCTCGATCAGCTATGATCTAGATCCATGCTTCCAGGAAAGTCTCGTTG